TGCCTAGCTAGGTTCTTAGGCTCCTTTCTAACTGATAAACCCTACAAAAAGGGGGACTGGAGATCATTTGGCATCCAACTGATATGTGTCGAAAAGAAACTTGGCCTTGAACATGATCCACAGAAAGTATTCTGTAGTGGATCTCAGTAAAATGGGAGCTGATGCTCCCTTTGTTTCTGTTGCACTAGCTTGAGCTCCTTAAATCCCTTGGTTACCTGAACCAACTTTATTATCTACTAGGAAGCTCACCTAGCAAAAATGTAATTTCTGCCAGATTAGTATTGGATCAGCTAATCAACCCAAGGATCAGAGGGGTTCCAGAAGCAGTGTAAAGGAAGATGGGGGTGAGGGAGAAGAGGACCACTTTTGACAGAGTAAGCTTCTTAGGTGGCTTCATTCAAGTCTGACTTACGTTTCAGTTTGCACGCTCTAATGAACACAGATTGATGACGTTTTCCAGCAGAACTGCAGTCTGGAGTGATGAACAAGAGCTTGCTTGTCACCTGTGCAAGTAGTAGTCATGTGCAAACTTTCAAACTTTCTAGAAATCTTTTAAGCTGACATCAAGAAACTACAGACCTCGAGAAACTACACTTTTACTACTTGAAGTTCAGAGAACACAACTTTCTCGAAAGTAGGAAAAGGGTTTCTGGAATCTTTTTCTACCGTTGTGACTTGACTTCTGACAGGCTTTTCCATAGTAAGTGCATTAATAGTGTGTCTGTTAACAGATTTGAGAGCGATAATATAAAAACTGTTAATCTGTGTGAGAAGGATAAGCTGTTGTAGTAGACGAGAAGTATATTGCATTTACTAGAGCAGGTTTACTGCAGTTTTGTCTGTAACAGGGTCTTTGGCTATGTGATCTGACTTTTTTGGACTGTTTTCAGGCAACAAATTCTTGTACTAAATGTAAACTTTTTTAAAACTTCTGTGCCATTGCTATAAAAGAGGGAGATTTTAATGTTAAAAAACTTATTTAAAGATGGGCACTGTGCAATTGGGCTCTTAGGTTTCTTGCTCTTGTTTGCTCTAGTGCTCTAAGTCTTGATTTTGGCATTAAACTTTTTCTATCCTTACCAAAGCACGCTCTGAAATTCTTGTTTAGAAGAATGATTTCTACCTCTTTCTTCTACCTTCTTGTCTATCACTGTTATCACAAAAGAATCTGGAAAACTTCCCAAAATAAAGTGAATATGGATAAACCAGTAAAACTGTTTTCTTCTGGTCATTGTCACTTGTCCTTCAGGTTTAATTATTCTCTGGTACCATTATTCAACTCGGGATGCATGTATACTTCTGTTGTATAATTTGCATCTCAGGTGTCTGTACTATGTTTGTCGGTAGCTTTTAAGACTCTACGAATTTGCAAAGGGGATAGGATTGAAATTGGAAGGGTGGTTTGGCATTTCCATAGAAATAAGTGTCCAGACCCTCTAGAGTGTAAGTATACAGAAGCCATGATTTCTGATTTGTATGAAAGACTGATTCTACTCGTTGCTGCATATGTGCAGCAGAAGAATGACAGCTGATGATTGCAACAAGTTTGCTTGTTACAAGTGAATGAGGGTTTTATTTCAAGATACTCTAAAATACTCTGAAGACTTCTCAGAATTATTTAGTCAAAATTTGAGGCTGCTTTTAAAAGAAATGGAGTAAATTAGATGACGTAAAAGAACATTTGAAACATTAGTCGAGTGAAAATCCTTTTGGCCGCTGATCTAGAAAGTACAAAGGCAAAAATTATTCTGGAAGCACGTGGTTCAGCATATACCATACAGCATTAAAAGTGGGAGTATCAGAGTTTTGTTCTGAGCTCTCATTTCTTGCATGGTCTTAGGCAAGTGAGATTATTTACCTAATGTGTCCCCCATTTTAAAACGTGATTCTGTGGGCAGAACTTAGAAATAGTTGAAAACAGGTTCTAAAGCCTATGCTTGCTTATGTTATGTTCTAGCAGTATTCTTGAATTTCTGATACGATCAGCCAAAGAAGAGAGAGTATGGGAATCCTAAGATACGAAGGAACTTGTCACAGTGGAAATTTTACAACCATATGCTTTCTAAACAGAAAAGTGGGGTGTTTTCTTTTCCTTCAGTCATTGTCTGAAGAATTGAAGGTCAATAGAATTGCTTCAGATTTCCAAATGAAAACTGGCATTGGTGTTGCACTCCAACTATGGATTTCCAGCTTGCAAGAAGCACAATTTACTGTTCTTTCTAATGGCATGTTATGTGAAGGAGTCAAGGGAGGACGGATGTTCCAGAACAGACCTCATTTTGCCTCATTAGCGAGAAAAGGACTAAGCAGCTGAGCATTAGGGTTTTTTTTTTCTTGAATGCTAATTTTGCAGTTTAATGGCAGGAAGGAGATAGTAAAATCAATTCCATTTTCTGGCAGTAATCTGGACTGTATATATGATATGAATTCTTTTTATCACTAAAAGAAGCTCAATGATTTGTTTATAGGCATGTTGCCAAAATGCAAAGATTTTGGACTAGTTCATAAATAGCTGTGCTCTTCGAGCTTTACAGTCTGTTCAAATTTAAACCTTCCCATCATTCTAGAAATGTGAGTATGTGGAGAGAGGGAAATGAACATTTTTTGGCTTTGAGTCACTGGGCAGACTGCAATGAATACAGGCTTTGATTCTGTAAGGGACCTTTTTTCCTTCAGTCCACCCAGTTTTGTAAATTCAGGATTACTAACTTGTTCACCCCACTCCAGCTGGTCATTGTGTGGTGCTGGGGGAGGAAATTCTAGGGTAGCTAAAAGGTATAGCAGTGCTTCTTGTATCGAGTATATTGGAACTTAAACATCAGACTTGCCTTTCTGTAAGGTGTGTTCTTGGAAACTGAAGATATCTTTGATTTGTAAGATTGTGCGGACTATCATGAACGTCTTATCCAGACCCCCATGGCAGGGGGCTTGGACTAGATGATCTTTAAAGGTCCCTTCCAACCCAAACAATTCAATGTTTCTATGACCTTGAGTTAATTATTTATAATATTGAAAACTGAGAATCCTAACCAGAGAGATCCATTAGTAGAAAAAGCCAGTAAAATTGACAGTGTGGGAAATAATGTCAGTGACTGTTGTTGAGTCAGAATGAAATCAAATTTGTTTTTTAATACGCTTTCTGGTCCAACAGGACATGTGCCTATTTTCAAAGGATATTAAACCTATTTACATCTCGGTGTTGCCTGATGCCTTTCTCAATAGAATTAATGGGATAATCTAGGCAGTGAGAGTGTATTTAATACTGTCTTATACTGCTGTAGGATCTGCCTAGAGCTGATCAATGTTTATATCAATCATCTGCTATAAAATATGAAATCATTGCCCAGACTTGCTCAGAGGGGGTGTTGACTGGAATGATAAATGAAGTTGAGTAGACAGTACAAGGGACATGGCTATGTACAAAGATTCATTTAGTCGATCAAGTTGTCCTAGTGTGGACAAATGTGAGGTGATACATAAAATGCGAAGGATGTATACTGTGTATTATATAGCAGGGATCTGCATTCTGGATAAGCAAAATTGGGTCAAGAGCTATGTGGTGGGGGGACCTCTTCAAAAGATGAGGCTTCAGTGGCCTACTGCAAGCCTCGGGTACAAAAGCAAGTATTAGCATGTCATTTCTCTCTCAAAAAACCAGAAATATTGAAGAATCTAGATAGCTCACTAGTTAATAAGGCCTTACTCTAAGGAGAGAGCTGTAATGTGGGACAAATGCACAGCCAGATTGATCTCTGACTCAAAGTTCAGGACATTAACCTGAACATTACTGATGATAATTCACAGGTAAAGTATGTGAGGTTATATACTAGATTCTCAGTCACTTTGGATGGCATTATTGATAAGTAATCTCGATTTTTAAAGTTGTTAACCTTGATAAGGGAATAGGAGGGAGAAAAAGTGTTGTGGCTCGTAATATGGAGGAGGCCAGTCACCATACAGATTGTGGGGCTTTCTTGGCTTGGTCACAAGGTGCGTGGCAGCTTTCTGCATCAAGCCTGAAGGGTACAAAAGGCTCATTCTCTCTTTAGCTTTCTCAAACTTGTTTACCTTGGAAGCTGAAGTGTTGAATGGAGTCTCTGATGGGCTGTGAGCATTGTAATAAGCAAACAGGGATGTAGAACTTTTGTGGCCCCCCTGCTTTTTACCTAAATGGAAAGCTAGAGTGTATCATAATATGTGGTAAGTCAACATAGGGTAGAAAACTACCAAACCTCATTCCTGTAAAGTTGTTAGTGATGTGTACCAGCTGAATATCCAGGCTCAGTGTTTTGTTTTGTTTTCATAATTCTCTTGGTATACCTTGGCGATATGACATTTCTCTTTATTTGAATTTTGCTTAAAACTCTGATGTCTGTTACTGCTTTTCTTTGATAACTTGCCTTTGTCTAATTGGCAAACGTTTCATACTAGTTTCTGAAATACCTTGAAATTCAAACAAATTAATAAATGTCCATTACTGGATTACGAGCTGAACAGAAGTGTCAGTTAAACAGAATAGATCTTCAGATTTGAACTAAAAATTGAGGTGAAACATTTATAACATGGTAAATAGATTCCTCTCCTTGGCTTGCCTTTTATTGTCCTAAAATGCCAGATATGTTACAGAGGCATTAAGGCAGGCATAGTGACATTGAAACATAAAATAGGAAGTAATCCTTCCCTAGAGGTGGGTAGGCTGCAAGCCTCAGACTCCATATCTGGGCTTTAATGAAGCGTAACTTACAGAAGAACACTGCTTTCTTCCAAACCTGGTGAAAACATGTGCAAAATGGATTAGACATGCGAGTTGTTCTCAGATACCTAAGAATGTAATAATTTTTTGCTGGTTCTTTTGAATTCCTTCCTCAGTGCCGTACAAGGAAAGAAGACTTCTCTATTTGCCAAGACCTCCAATCATGGTTTTGTGTGGAAAACATCACCACCTTTCTCTGTTAATCGTTCTACAAAGCATTTTCTCTGTTTTTTTTTTTTCCCCCCAGTGTTCTGAGGATTATAAACACAATGATGAGTCACCTCAAGAAGACGAAGGGTTTATGGGTATGTCACCTCTTCTACAAGCCCACCATGCTATGGAGAGAATGGAAGAATTTGTGTGTAAGGTAAGGGCGTGTGGAAACTGCTGAAGTAGTTTCCTTTTTTAGGAAGCTCCAGTGGGCAACAGACTGTACCTGCAGCAACTGCGCTATTAGTGTGAGCGAGAGCAGATACACACCACCTGTGAATAGGCATCTCTTGTTACAACTAGTAGCACTACAGCTTCTCAGGATCTCAATCTGTCATAAATGAATAAATTGTAAAGCATGGAACAACAGGGATTACAAATGAGACTCTAAAGCTGATCATGCAACTGAGGGGTCTCTCTTGAGAAACACCTGTGAGCGCAAAGCAGAATAAAAGCCTTCTGGTTCAAGACGCTTTCCATTTACAAGGTAGTTTTTTTCCAGGTTTCTTCAGACTTGCAAATATTTTGCTTTTCCAGCACCATTTGCATCCATTATAGAATAAGCTTTGTCCCTTACTTGAAAAGAAAACAAGGCTGTATTAAAACTATATCTAAGTAGACTTTGTTGTTCCTGACCTTGCCTCAATTTTTGCTACTTTTTAGAGCCATAGGGCTGTATCAGTCTCTGGCCCTCCTTTCTTGGTGAAAGGAGTGCTGCCCCTTTAATACACTTGTTCCTACTGGTTTTATGAACTATTCTTTGATGTTTTTACAGAGGGACCCTAGTTACTTAGTCGTCTTTTTGTGTGTGGGTTTTGGGTGTGTGGTTTTCTTTGGTTTTTTTTTTACTATGCATCTTTTTCCCTTTTTAGATGTTCTGTAGGGTGGATTGTGTAAAATGAATTCCTTCCTGCTGTTCCTACCTCAATTCAAATTTTTGGTTCATGAAGCAAACCAGTTATTTTCTTATTTAATGTATTTAAGAACCCAGTCTTTAACAGGGTTGGTTATTCTGATTAGTTTTGTTTTGCTTCCATAAAGGAGTGTGGAGAATTGATTTAAAAACTCTGAGCTCGTATTGTTGAAACTGAAATAAGAATGTAGCTTTTTAAACTTAGTGTTTCAGGATTCTTCAGGCTCGCTCCTGTATTACTAGCCAGACGACAAATCCAAGGAACACTGCAGAAACAACCCCGGTACATAAAGCAATTCCCTGATACCCCTCTGCTTGGCAGTGCTGCTTCTGAAGCCAAACTGAAGACTACATGTATCTTATGTTACTGAAGCAGCGCTAAGAACACCTGTGCACGCTTTTTTTCATTTGGAACCAGCTGCAAGGATAAATGTGTGCACATATGCTCTCTCTCCCTTTAAAGAAGAAATCTGATGGAATTGAGTCATGGATCTGTTGCCTTAACTGATCTGTCACTGCTTGTTTTGGGAGTGTGGGAGCGGTTTTTTTCCAACCTGGATAAGGGGTTGGACACTTGTCACTGGACTCTTGCCACTTCATGTGTTCTGGCCCATATTAGTGCTGATGGGTAGCTTTTTTGCTAGACTGCCCCAAATGCTAGCAGATATATAGTCAGATTGGCTTGTGGTTGGAAGAACAGGCTTTTACTTACTTATTTCTTGGAGAGAACTAGGTGTAGGCTTCTTCAATTAAATGGAAAGGATGATCTGTGAAAATAATGGAAAGGAATTAAATGCTTTCCCTTCATTAGCAGTAAAAAAGCCCCATAGCTTTCCTGTTCAATGAAATGCTGAACTACTTCTTTCTCTGGTGGTGCAGCTCAACTTCATAATGATACTGTTTTGAATAGGGAACAGTGACTTAAGCGTTATTTCAAGTGTAAAGCCTTTTCCCCAGAGAGGTCCCATCAACCCTTTTCTGTTTACTGTAGTCATAGATTAACTCTAACACTCTTACTAATATGGGTTTTCTGACTTTTGCCATACATCAGTGGAAGTCAATTCCCTGCGTTTAACTAAAATCTTCTAACTTCTAGGTATGGGAGGGCCGATGGAGAGTCATTCCCCATGATGTTCTGCCTGACTGGCTAAAGGACAACGACTACCTGTTGCATGGACACAGACCACCCATGCCTTCCTTCCGGGCTTGTTTCAAGAGTATCTTCAGAATACATACAGAGACTGGTAACATCTGGACACATCTTCTAGGTATTTTCAGCTTGCTCTAATCCTAATTGGCTTCATTGCTCTCTTTCTTTGAGAGCAAAATAGAAAGGGGTGTGGGGTGGTCAGCATTATCATTCCATTAGTAACCTGTTAAATTAACAGGTTGGTATCCCTCTCCTAATTTTACCCCGCCAGGGTTGGATGGGACTTCCTTAATTATGGCATTCAATACAAATGAATAAAAAATTTCCTGATCATTAATAAATTACTGTTAGATATTCTTTTTTCCCCAAGTGTGTAGGTGTTAATTGAGATCACATTTCTTGTCACAGGAACACACTTAAGTTGCAGCTTGTATGAGTGGTTTTCAACTTGCAAGGAGCCTTGAAGGGAAAGGGTTTCTTTGAACTATGCCCTTCTTTTTTTACATTTTGCAACAGATCTTTTTATTATTCTAGAATGTCCAACTAGTTGTCAGGCATCTTGCAAAACAAGTAAAAATACAGAGTTCATGCAAGCCTGTATTGCATCAGTCTGAGACAGAAATGTGGTTGGAATGCATAACTGAAGTAGGGCAGTGCTTTATTCTGCATGTGTGCTGCTGGTTGTAATGCAGCTCCTATGTTTAGTGCTCCTGTACATTAAAGTCATGCTTTTAGAAAGAAAAGCTTTCAGTATGCATGAACTTGACACCTTTCTGTGTTACTGTTTTTCAGGATGCGTGTTCTTCCTTTGTCTGGGAATCTTCTACATGTTCCGGCCAAACATGTCCTTTGTAGCACCTGTGCAGGAGAAAGTGGTTGTTGGATTGTTCTTCTTGGGAGCCATACTCTGCCTCTCTTTCTCATGGCTCTTCCACACAGTTTATTGCCACTCAGAAGGTGTTTCCCGGCTCTTCTCCAAGTAAGTGCCTAGAGGACAGGGTAGGCCAAATAGGAAACAGGTGGGAAAACAGCGTTGGGATTTATGGCTGGAGCCCCAGTGTAGGAGGAGTTCATTGCATGGCTGCGTGTACTTTGGAACAGAGTTGAGCAGAGATTCAATGCAGCTTCTTCTAATTATTGTTTGTTTCAGCATGAGTTTTTGTGCTGTTGTTTTAGTCTTAAAACTCCTTCATTTTCTGCTGTTTGGCAGGCGTGTGCATGCATCTTGCTGCTGTAAGTAATATACCTAGAGCTTAGTTGCAGGACTTTGAATTTTTAATGCATCTGTCACTTCTTGTCATTTCAGCTATTCTGAGTAACTCTGAATCTTAAGCTTATGAAAGACAGCTCCATGATGTGTATCAAGATGTCTTGATCTTTTGGTTTTACTACATGTTCTTTTTTGACTGGCTGCTAAATATCTTATATTTCCTAAGATTATTCAACCTAGGATTGTGTAATCTGCAAGACCACCTCTAAAGTTAACCCAGCAATTAAAATCCCCTACTGAAAAATTAACTCCATCTTTTGTAGGAGCATTTTGTCAGGGTGTGGTAAAAAGCAGTGGCTGTAGGAGTTCTTTTTCTTCACTGGTGTATAGAAAAACAGCATGGTTGAAAAATTAGGATATAATTCCCCAGTGGTCGCTTAAGCTGATGCTGAACTAACTTACGCTTGTCCAATACTAAAGTGTTTGTGTTGGCTGTGCTCTCACAACGTACTGTGTGCCCTTTTTTGTGTTCAGAGGACCCTTGTGCTGCTTTTTTCCACATCTGAAGCTTAAATCTGAGTTTCGTTCAAAAAGCTTTGGTCTAAAGGCTGCTGTATGTATTGCTGATGACTGTCCAAAAATGGCCTTACTAGTTGTCTAGCAAGGTAATCCGTTACTGTAGGAGGGCGTTGGTGGAAGAGTTGCCGTCAGGAAGTAAGTTGCAGTAGTGAGAATAACTTCATTTTGCAGTGAGAAGTAGACAGTTGGTTTACTAAAGAAGAGAGTGTTGGTATGAGGACTTCCAAAGGTTCACATTTCTTATCAAACTGATTTTTGTTTCCTTCTAGGCTGGATTACTCTGGCATTGCACTTCTCATAATGGGCAGCTTTGTACCCTGGCTGTACTACTCCTTCTATTGCAACCCTCAGCCTTGCTTCATCTACTTGATTGTGATTTGTGTCCTGGGCATTGCAGCCATAATTGTCTCACAATGGGACATGTTTGCAACCCCTGAATACCGGGGTGTAAGGGCAGGTAAGACCTGAAGTTAATTGTTTTCCTTCTTGACTGCCTTTCCTCCTTCCTACTTGCCACTTGGAAAAACCGTCTTGGGAAGACTTGAGAGCTTAATTTTATAAAGAGCTAATATTCTTGGACTGGGAGCTTGCTGGGTTTTCTTTCAGCATTGATTATAGCCAACTGGATGCACAGATAAGGGCTGGTGCAAGTCCTGGAAGTGCATTCCTGAAATGGACAGTAACACATGCAGTAGGAAAGGTAGTGCAAAGTATTTCTAGCTATATCTGGCAACTTTGCTCTCTCAAAAAATGACTGACTGCTTGATGTGTGTATGTGTATATTCCTTCTACTGTTTGTCTTGGTTTTGTAATACTAGGCTGAGATACTAGCAAATCATTGAATGATTTAATTAATCCGAATGATTTGCCTAGATAAAATGCATATTTAAGACAAAGAGCCTAGTTTTTCTCTTCACACGATCAAAAGAGCAAAACCAGATTTGGTTTCACATTCTGAGGTAGGAAGAAAGAGAAAGCTTTAGGGGGCAGCTATGGAATCTGAACACAGCTGGGTTGAATAGTAATATTTCTTGTTACTTAACCTGCATGTGCTGTCTACAGTAAATCTAAATTTCCTGGACAAGCTATGGGTGTACCTTCAGAGAGTTCAGCCTTCCAAACTTAAAAATCTGTGGATGGGATGTGATTATTCCCCCCACGCACACTTTTTCTACAAGATTTCTGTACTTGGTGCTAAAATCTAAATGAATAAACCATGTTCTCATATATGGCAGATCAGATGGGCCTCAGATGCTACTTTTCTGTTTCCTAGGACTACTTGTACAGCATATGATAAATAATCTCTTTGTTGTCTCTCCTTGTTGTCTTGCTCTTGAGAGATTATGGTGAGACACAGTTCATGTAGTCTCAGTGCCCTCTACAGTCCAAGGTGTGTAAGTGGCTTAAGGTACATTAAAGCTGGCAGATGCAATTGTTAAATGAAATGTTTCAGTATCTGCTGGAACGTATAACTAAGTAGCTTCTGGTATATGAAGGAAGTCCATGCATTCTTTAACTTCCTCTCCAATAAAGCTCTTCTGGGGACCTTTAGCTTCAAGAGTTGTCACCTTTCTGCTGCTTTGGCAAATACTGAGTTTTCCCTCTGTAGCTTTTGTGTTTTCATTGTCTCCCTTTACCGCCACTGTGTTCAAATCTGACTCTCCCACATTTTCTTTACCTCCCAGGAGTATTTCTAGGTCTGGGTCTTAGTGGGGTTATTCCCACCCTGCACTTTGTCATCTCTGAGGGGCTCCTGAAAGCAGCCACAATGGGGCAGATAGGCTGGCTGGCACTCATGGCATGCCTGTACATCACTGGTGCTGCACTATATGCTGCCCGCATCCCGGAGAGATTCTTCCCTGGCAAGTGTGACATCTGGGTGAGTCTACAGAATGACTGGATGAGGAGATCAACCTGAAAGCAGGTTCCCCTTGAGGCTGGAGGATGTTGTGTCAATGTTTTCTTATTGCAAGTATCAAACTGCTGCACCAGAAGCATAGGGTCTTAAGGGGCCAAACAACTGTGGGCTCTCTGAGCCCAGCTTACCTGGTGCCTCTCTTGCTGAGTTATCACAAGCTGGCTGGTCTGAGGTAGCTGCTGGTGTGCAAATTCACCCCAGCACATCTACTAGATAGCTTTAATAGATGGGTAAGCAACTTTTCAAACCTTTTTGTGTGTGTGTTGAGGATCCTGCAAACACACATCTTACCTTGCTTCTGTGCGGAATAGTGCATGGTTATTTCTCTGATGTTCAGTGTGTTCTCCGGGATCTTCACCGTGTCTGGCTCCTCATCTTGTGCAGCCAGTGAAAACGCTGGATAGAGATGGTAGACTTTGGAGGGATCTCTGGCCCAAAAGAAGGGAAAGTGGGGTGAGCAAGTGGGTGGGTGGGGGAGACTTGGGATGAGGGAAAGGATCATGAAGACTGTAGAGGGCAAATATGTGGGGAAGATGTAAAGACAGAAATTGGGTGGAGCAAGAGTAGAGATGTGAGGGAGGTGGACCTTTGGAAGGCCACTCTACTTCCACTAGTATAGTTTAAGGCCCCTAAAGAAGATTAGAAGTGAGAATGAGGCCTGGGTTGTTCGAGTGGCTTTTGCATAGCACCAGTTTGCTAGATTGTTTAAATGGCCAAACAAAGCCTTGTTACAATAATGAGCTAGGCTCCAAAAGCACTGGTGTACCACCAACTCTTTTCCAAGCTTCCCATGGAGCCTGCAAATACACGTTTGTAGAAGTTTTTCAAGAGCATTATCCATATTGGTATGGCTTCCCTTAAACAAGGGCATGCTTTGTCATGTAGCTCCCTCATGGTTTTCATTCTGCTGTACTATAATCAATAGCATCCTGGGCATTCATTCAGAACATTTGGTTGTTTCTAGGTTTTAATATAATACCATTTCTTTTCCGTTCTGTTTCTCTGTGGCAGAGAAATAAAATAACAGTGTTCTGAAAGTCCACCTGGTAAAACTGCCTGTGACCAGAGCAGAGTTTGTACCTGTTAGCTGTGTGAGATAGCCCTTTTTATTACTAAACCACTAGTGTGTGTTGTGGAGGAACTAATTTTAAGTGTCCTGCTTAAGCCTTTTGCCCAAAGCTCTGAAGTTATTCTTGTCCCTTCACAAAGATGTGCTATAGCATTTATGTAGCATATTTGTTGATTGACCAGCTGGTTAAGATGACTGAAGGAAAGGGTGGGGTGTGTGTGTGGGGAATTTGATTATTTTGCTAATGATAGGAGAGGGATGGGCTTTTAATACACAACTTGGAGAACTTTGTGGTTTGAGGTACTGCTACGTGTTACTGTGTACTTCAGCTGAATGTGGGGCTTTTTTGGAGACAGGGTAGCACTAGAACGCAAAATACCCCGGCTGAACAGAAGTGTTTTCTTTTCCGCAGTTCCACTCCCATCAGCTGTTTCACGTCTTTGTAGTGGCTGGCGCTTTTGTGCACTTCCATGGGGTTTCGAACCTCCAGGAGTTCCGTTTCACAGTTGGAGGAGGCTGCACAGAGGAAGATGGGATGCAGTAAAACCAGCCTTCAGCCCAAGATCGTAACCAAAACAGTACCGCAAGCGCGGTTGAAGCATACAGGCTAGCGAAATGAATACCTAAGAAGAATCCAAGTTTCATCTGATGGGGCATGGAGCTTCATGGGGATTCTGACTAACCAAGATAAATTCTATACCTCAAGCAATGGAATGAATCAATTTGAAGACCAGGAAATTCTGAAACCCTAATTTATTCTTGGGATCTACAGATTGAGCTACAGAGGACCCTTCCAAATCGGCTTCTGTTCAATGCCATATTTATTTGTAGAAGTGGGGAGGGATAGCTTAGCAGTTTCCTTTTTTTTTAAAAAGAAAAAAAAAATCAAGGTTAAATTTATATCCTCTTGGAGGGTTTGGGAGTTGATTTTAGATGCTCTTTTGGGAGAAAAACAAATTGTAAATAAGATTTCTAACTTTCTGTTTAAATAAAATTTATATAAATGTTTTAAACAATGGGTGGGGGGGAAAAGGGTTTTTGTAAAGAATGCAACATGCAAGTACCACACACTGTTTCAATTTTGCACAAAATAAATGATTGCAGGAGGACCAGGTAAAATTCCCAGGAGTGAAGCATGTTGGCCCTGCAGATTTTCCTGGTGGCCAGCATGCCCTGGGCAATGTGGGGTCCTGGCCAGCACTTGGAGTAGGTTCAGTACGTGTACACAAGGGTTGTGAAGGCTGGATTGATCATGTTGTCGTCCAGGTCACAGTGTTAGCAAGTTTATTTACTCAAGTAACCTGACAGATATATCTGCGCCCTGCCTAAGCGTGTGGGACAGCTGCCTTCCAAGCTTGAGTGGCCTGTATAGTTTTGGATAGTGAATGTTACAGTAAGTTGTTTTGGTTCTCACCATATGAATTGGAGCATGATGGGATAACTGCACATGAAATGGCAAACGGTCCGACTCCATCAGTGCCTGCCTATACCCAAAGGCCCCCGTTGAGTAGATGGTTGCTATTTGTGGGCCTGCTCTTTTTTGTCTGAACAAATGATGGTAATGCACTTGTCAAAAGATAGTTGAGCATGTGAGTGGAAACACAGGTGGGGTTAAGATGGACTGGAAAGAGGAAGCTGTGCGCTCCAGGACTTGGAGTTAACAGTTACTGCAGACCTCAAGCACATTACCTTCTCATGTGTCAGGCTCCATATGCCGAGGGAGTTTGCAGGTTTTTCTTTTTAAGAGGAAAAATCCACAATCAGCCCAATGCAATTCCTTTTTTTTTTTTTTTTTTTTTTCCTTAGGTCTGCTTCCCATCTGTGCTTTAGCAATGGGACTGCTGGTATTTCTTAAAACTAAGAGTTCAGTTGGATTGCTGTGGAGCAGACACACCTCCTATATAAGGGGAGGTATATACCCTTCTCTTGTGTAATTGATGTAGCTTGATCTTTGGAGCCCAGTCAGAAGCTAGACTGAAGGAGAATCTTTGGAGTCGTAAGATGAAACTTGAACGTTTTGTTTGTTATGGCACAGGTATTGCTTGGAGTATTTAGTTGGAAATTCAGAGCAATTACCTCTCTCATAGATGAGTTAAACAGCTCATAAAATGCTGTATTTCACAAGGAAGGAAGGTAAAGGGTGGTTTTTTTGTTGTGTGTGGGTTTTTGTTGTTTTTTTTTTAAGACTCGTGCAAGTTTGAATTTTCATCCTTCAAGAGAAAAATGTGGATTGCAAAGATCTTCCCATACCCTGGATATCACGGAGTGTGTTTTGGGGAGTTACTTTGCCTAATCGAGTCCAATAGAAGCAGAATGCCTTCCGAAAGTTGACTGGATATTAAGGCTTCACCCATCGAATGGAGTCTTTGTAAAGCCTCTGAGAGCAAGGTCAGCTGCAGAAAGCGGTGCCGCAGCAGAGTCTGCGAGCTTAGGGGGACGTGTTCTCAGTAGGATAACTACACTGGATGCCTGTAGGGCCAGAAGTTGTTTATCACAGGTCTGTGTGGTACTAAAATGAAGTAAAGAGCAGTATTAACTTGGATGCAAGGGCTAATAGCACTGGCATCCCTGACAAAGATGTGGAGTTGCCTGGCAGGAAGTATACTGGTGTGTGAGAAAAGCGTGGTGCATACTGGAATCAGTTGTCTGTAAGGCGCTTTGGGATACCTCTGTAACAGTACCAGCAGAAGTGGCAGTCTCCGTGCTGGATCATCCCACCTTCACTCCTTGAAGGGTGATTGTAACCTGGTCCTACGCAGCACAGAACTATTACAAAAACACAGTACTCCACCTGCTATTCTTAACCCAGTCAGTCTCTCCGTTTGGGAAGTTCGTGTGTTCCAATAAAAACAACCTAGCTGTGCACTTTTCTGTAGCTCTTGCTGAGAACTCTTCCCAGGTTGGCACCTGAATGCCTTACTCTCAGCAGTCAGAGGCTTGCTTGCTCTGTGTGCAGGTTATTGCCATAGAATAGTTAGGACCTACAGCTTCTTTCCTTCCCCATTAAATAGTGGCCTTGTTCAGTATATTTCTTTTTAAAAATTGCTTACTGTTGAAAGCAATGAAGCACATTCTGGGGTTTTGATGGTTGGGGACTCTGGTGATGGTTCCATATAAGATGGGATCTTATTACGTGCTGTATTCTTAACTTCTGCTAATAAAAGAACCAAATGGAATATTGTCTAGTTTGGGTCTTTCCGTGCTGCGTGTGAAGCTTGAAAGAGTCGCTCTCCCTTTCTTCCTTCCCAATGCTTACAGGCAACGCTTCATAGGTAAAAGACTTCTGCTGGTGCAGAAACCAAACTGATGCCTAAAGGCTTGTTTGTCTACAGTTGGACTGATGCTTGCGGTATGCCTCCCCGAGCAAAAGCCAGTGGCTGTGAGTTCGTGCGACTGAAACATTATGTGTTTGTTCTTGATGTCTATAATTCACATCGAGTTTGGTTCTGCTATGTGGTGTGCTCTTGATGTCTATAATTCACATCGAGTTTGTGCCTGGTCTTGCTGTAAGATTTCAATACTGTTTAACATATACAAACATTGCAGCAGACAAAGGTGTCCATGGACTGTGCTGCCTCTTAGTTAGTGCTGATCTTGAGGGAAATTTGTTTTTCCAAAGTCTAGACTTTTATTCGATGCCCACTGGAGTTGCCAGTTGTAGCACGCGGCAGATAGTGGTGTGGGGGAAGGAGGTGGTGTTAGGTGTGTCTGCTGCCACGACTTCATGAAGCTGCTCGTCATAAGAATTCCCCTGACATACAATTATTCTGAACTTGCAGAGAATGAAAAGCCTGGGATAATGTTTATCCTGTCCCATGTCTGCTTGTTTTTGACCTCTGCCATATTTTAAAAGTAACTTGAGGATAAAGTGGGATTGGTGTTACTGCTGAGTTTCATCTTTTGTTTTGGAAAGCTTAGCTGAACCCACTCTGTAGAGTGAGAGCATAAAGCTGCAGGGTGGTCTTGGGGCTGGCTAGTCTTTGTCAGGTCTCTCCATCCCCCAAGCCTCCATCTGAACATAGGCTAGCTATAATTTCAAAGGTTATCTATTTTTGCATGTTTAGAGACACTAGTTTTCAGTGGCTCAGTTTTCCAGTTCCTGGTCTTGCAGATTTTAGAGCAGACTGCATGTGTACTGTCCCCTTCCTCGCTCCAAGGCTTAAGAGGGCTTTCTCTTACCACTGCAGGTTGGGTGCCAGGGGGTAACGGGCAGACAAGGGAAAGGAACACACTGGCCAAGGAGTCAAACTGGGTGGAGTGTGAGATACACTAGTTTTCAGTGGCTCAGTTTTCCAGTTCCTGGTCTTGCAGATTTTAGAGCAGACTGCATGTGTACTGTCCCCTTCCTCGCTCCAAGGCTTAAGAGGGCTTTCTCTTACCACTGCAGGTTGGGTGCCAGGGGGTAACGGGCAGACAAGGGAAAGGAACACACTGGCCAAGGAGTCAAACTGGGTGGAGTGTGGTGGAAGGAGGAGAAACACTGATTTATGGACAGTACTGGAAAGCCAAAGGTGAAGCACTGGGGGGTGAGACCTTCCGAGGAGGAAAATGGGCAGGAGGGACTGAGGGTGCAAAGAACGAGGTGGGGGGGAAGGAGTGTGGGTGCTGGAGACCTTGGTTGTTGTGGGCAAATTTTCAGGTGCAACTGAGAAGAGACGTTCAGGAGGCCTGGACTCAAATTCCTGGTGTAGAGGAAATGCCTCCCAGCCTGTACCCAAGTAAGGGATTGATCGTCTTCTCCTGGTATGCAGGCTTAGGGGCAGGAAGGAGTCAGGCTTGGCTGGGGAGGGAGTGGGGCTGGTGCTGACCAGAACAGCCCTGTGCCTGGAGCGGGGCCTTCTGCTCCTTCATCGCCATTCCTCGGCTGTCAGGAAACATCTGTGAACCGCCTGGGCAAGATATGCCTAATCCTCCTCTTGTGTTGGCTCACACTGAGTCTGGGTGTGTACAGCTGTGCTGTTTATCAGTTACTTGACTCAAGATACGTGTTTTGCAGTGCCTTGTAAGAGAGCCAGCTCCAGTAAATGACCTGTGACAGCTTCAAGTCTCAGGATGGATTTATTTTTTTCTTTTTAAAAATGCAAAGTAAATTCAAGGAGCATGGAGAACTTCGGCATCGGATTACACATGAATTACGCTGAAAGAAGCTGCCACGTTTTGAATATGAATTGGGTTTATTTTGTTTTCAGGAAGCAGAATGATTCTTAAAGGTTGCCTGGGCAGGCTAAAGTTGTATGTCCTACCTCTGCTGCATGTAGTTGTGGCCATGCTTTGCCCTCTCCCAAGAATCGCTTGCTTCGCTCATTGCAAAGGGTGAACTTACCCTGAGTATGGATTAACGCGCTGCAATCAAGGTGAATGTCTAAGGCCATTGCCTAACTTTTTGAGGAGCTGGAAATAAATGAAGCATATGATTAGGATGGAGGAGCTGAGTTTGGTTTAGTTGAAGCTATTGGAGGCTTCCCTGCAAAATTGAGTTCATTTTTTCCCTTTCTTATTTTTTTCCCCCTGCCTCCTGCGTGGCATCAGGCAATTTGAACCAAACTCCCCTGCTGGTCAGTGCTTCTCTTCTGTATTTGTCTGGAGTGCCCAAGCTGAAATTCTCTAGGCTGATTTCCAGGAGTGCTGAGCACTGATGTGCTTTGAATGAAGTTCCCTGAAAAGGTCAGCTCCTTGGAGAGGATGTGTGTGAATTCCTAGGTCCATATTGCTCTTTATGAAGAAGGAATACCGTCCTCGAGCTCACAGCAATGCCGAGCGCGTCACACTGGATCATCTTCAAGTACTTTAACAATAGTAGGAGAAGTGCACAAGGAAACCCTCTGCTCAGCATCACCTGGGCAGCGCTGCGGTTCAGCTGCTGTGAGAGGACCGCAGTGTAACTGGTCCCTTGTTCACCATCTTGTTCACCGTCAGGAAGGTAGGCTCCTTGGGGAGGGATGGCGGGATGCGAGCCCGGCGCTCCTGCGTGTGCGCGAGGTTTGCCTGCTCGGTCTTAATCCTGGCATTTCCAGGAGCTTCACCTTTGGCTCTTCTCTCCTCTAGTAAAATTCATGTTTGAACAACAGAGCTATTACAGTTCCTGAGCTCAGAGCTGTTTGCACTGGAGATTCACGACGACCTCGCGTATTAGCAGCTTCACCTCCGTAGTGGTACAACTGGGCACAGGGGCACTTCACAGTTGGCATAAAAACCAAACCGGTCTAGTTGTAAACAAGATGGGAAAATCATGTGCCTGGCTGGGTTCCCAGAGCAATGATGCGTTTCCGTAACAGATGCAAATGACACCTAAACCAGCTCCAGTAGCTGTCTTTTATTTTCGTCTCTAACCATGCCGAACCTGTGCATATGGTTTGAGGTTTGCCTTAGCGCTGGCTGTAGCTGAGCTCCCCTAAACTGAAGAAGTTGTTCTCTGCAGCCAACGCCAGGCTGCGGGGCCGGCCGGCGGCAGAGGCAGGCTTGGGCAGCTCCCCTTCCACTTGCAGCAGGAGCAGCCAGGGCTGTGGGATGGCAGCTGCCGCTGTGAAGGAGAAGCGGGAAGCCATCCCTCCTGGGAGGCAGCAGCCACTGCCACCACCTCCCTGGCTGCGGTAGCCAGCCTGGGGCTCTGCCCTGGCTCCGGCCCAGCTCCCCCTGTCCCACTGCCCGCAGGGACGGCCGGGCTCGGTTTGCTGCCTTTGCCAGGCAGCCTCCTGCCGGTTTTGAAAGTGATGCTGTGTCCCTCAGAGCTGGGCAGGAGGGGGGTTACAGCAGGCTCCAGCCCCTGTTGCCGGGGGGGCTGGCTGCACAGGGCTGAAGGAAGCCACTGCTGGCTGAAATTTAGACAAGCAAGCGCAGCTTGGGTTTTTGGCTAGCGTGTAAGATACAGCATGGGTGTACTCGCTCTCACCAGCGTGGGGGCTTCCCCGGCAGCTCCCTGTCCCCTTCCTTGCTGCTCGTGAGAGGCCAGCCCCTGGTGTGATGGCCAGGGGGTGGCAGGGCCTCCGGGAAGGCTGGCAGCCTCCTGCCACTGTCCCCACAGCCTTTCCTCGAGGAGGCTGAGGAAGCACCTGTGCATATCCCTGTGCAGTGCACATGCTGCTCCTCGTAACGCCAGCGGGAAGGACAGCGACAGCGATAGCTGCCCGGCCCCGGTGGAGCCAAACAGGGGTGTACGGACGGGGCTCAGTGCACAGCTCTCTCCCGCCACTGGTGGGCGCCTGCTCGGTGAAAGGTGGGGTGCCGGGGCACCCAAAATGCGAGGCGGCAGCAGGAAGCAAAGCAGGAAGAGCTGATGAAATTTTCTGCGCGGCCCACGAGGTATTTGCTGAAGAAACGTGCTTGGTGGCGTTCAAGTGGGGCTATTACGGTTTGCATCACGCGCTGATGACGAGCTGCATTGCTGTGGCTGATGTCATGAGAGGTAATGACAGCGGCGTTCACTGGCCGAGTGATGGAAGGTGTGAAGGCTCCTTTCAAGTGTGGGCAGAGGTGGCGTAAGGGGCCCTGCAGCTGGGGCAGGGCAGGGCAGAGGCATGGGGAACAGCCTGTGCTGAGGGATGGGAGAGTTCCCCAGCGTCCAGGGGGGACGGGAGCAGCAATGCCCTCAAGCGAGGGTCCAGCCAGCAATGGAGTCACTCAGTGCATGGGACTTTGATGCTCCTTCCCCACTTGCTTTTGAAAAATTGCTTTGTGCAAACGTAAGTGCCGTGTTTGGCTGCCCTCAACCCCCTCCCCTGCAAGCAGAGGCATGTAAGAGCGCAGGGTTTCCATGCAGAAAGTACCAGTGGGCTTTGTCAGCAGAAAAAGCATCCTGGAAAATACTCCGAGGAGCTCTAGTCTGAGAGGTGTGCGTAAAGCCAAGCAAGAATGTGGTATTGGTCCTTTGTTGTGGCAGAGGAAGGCACCCCCCCTCTTTGCCCTGCTTGGAGCATATGGCTCCTCACTGCGACCGCCACCGTCCCCAACCTGGAATGTGCCAGGCTCTTGCTAAGTATAAGCCAACTCAGGCCAGCCTGCTAAAAAGCTGCTGCCTTTGTGACTGCTCCCAATTGCAAACTGCTGTAAATCCAGGGCTGATTTTCCTACTGTTTTGCAGGATGAAGTCATCCCTGTCTGGTCATACTCGAAGGTGTAGTCATCTGTCTGCTCTGTCCCAAGGCATGAGTCAAGGGAGGGCACGTGTACGCGACGCTG